GAGCTGGATGAACACAGCAGGCCGAGCAGGAAGGCTGACGTTTCGGGAGGCCCGAAACGTCAGCCTTCCTGCTCCTCTGATGCTCCTTGGCCTGCTGTGTTCATCCAGCTCTTCACCTTGCTATCTCAGTATAATTAAGGTATTGCATTGGTGATGCTGTGCTGAAAGTAGCTCTTGCTCCTTCCACAGTAGGCTGCATCAATTAGAAGGCAAATAATACCTGTAAACTTTAAAAGTAGCTGTCAACCACCAACCCAAGATTTAGACAGTCTGATATAATATTTGACAATGTTTGAGAATCTCCTTCAAGCACGTGACTCAAATTACCTGCAAACTGCAACACTCCAGTATTATACGCAAATCAGACATAACAGCTTGCAACAAACAATGAAACTAAAGACAAGTTGATTTGTCCTGACAGGTTTGGACAACAGGTAATTATTCGCTAGGATGCTTACAGAATTTACTTACAGGTTTATCATTGAGGAATATTGCAAGATCTCGGAGAAAGTCACACGAAATTGCAGATTACTTTTTTTCCTACCTACTGGGTGTTTAAGCTTATTTAAAGTGAAATAATACATACCCAAATACATGAAACAAATATGTTGACATTATGTTCCACATGATGGAATGCATTATGCACGGACTGTAGCTGTTCAAAGAGGTAGCTCACCACCACCTTCAAGGGCAATAAATGCTGGCCAGCCATGGGGAAATTAAACAAAAATGCAGAACTTTATTTTTTTCAACAATTTAGAATAATTTCCAACTGGAGTACTATGAACTTAAAAAAAAAAAGACATTTTGTCAAAGCTTTTCATCCTGCACCCATCAGGACAATTTGCAAGAAATATCAATGTAAAAGGAAAACAATGTTTATGAATGGAGAGTGCTAACTGGTTGTCAACTGGACTCTGATTGTAGGGACAATTTCTTGCGAATTGTCTTGATGACTGCAAGATGAAAAGCTCTGGCAAAGTGCCATGTTTATTCCCCCCCCCCCCATTAATAGTTAAATTTACACTAAGTACTTTATAGAAAAGAGCTAAAATTATAGTTATACAATTCACAAACACTTACCATAGGATTCATGAGGAAATCTGTCCAGCCCCATGTTTCTCTCTTCAGAAAATATGGCGGAGGGCCAGAAGATTTGATTTGTATGGGATATGGCAACCTAATAACTTCAGATGCCTTTAAATAGTTCACATGCCTTGCTCTTGTAAGAAAACAATTTTAACAAAAAGTTATTCAATGAGTGGAACAACTTGATGATCAGAAGTTAACTGAAAATTTTTCTTTAACCAAACACAAAGCCAAAATCTTTCAAATATCACTAATCACATTATTCAGACATGGCAGCAACAATGACTTTTATATTTATAAAGTGCCTTTAATATAATGAAACAGCCTAAGGCCCTTCACAAGTTTCTGGGGCAAGGGCAGACAAAGACAAAGCAGTCTGAAAATTAATGACCAAAGATGAGCGGTCTGATTTTTTTGACAAGGTAACATGTTATTGTAGCACTTCTCATGATTTGAGGAAAAATACAAACACTTCAAAGCTATTTCAGGTGGGTGGAATTATTAGGCTTTGAAGTGGATTAAAATATCATTCCTTCCTTTGTTTACTTTTATTCTTGTCAAAACTGTGGAAGAATTAATTTATATCACATCACTAAAGTGATCCCACACAATCCCAGTACAGTTAATGAATGCAGGATGAATTCCACCCTAACATCAGAATATGACTATGCAAGATTATGTACATACAAAGGAAAGCAAAAGACCGTGGCAGTGCTTTGCAAACTACTCTTCAACTTGATCCCATTTTAATTTCCTCAAGCATAAATTTACTGATGGAAAAGGCTAGATTATCCAATGACACTCATGTCCCATGAACAAATATAAAGATATCAAAAAGTGCTCCCTACCAACCTGGGTCCTAGTTCTATTTGATCTGAGGTCTTGCTGACTTAACTCCTTTTGCACATGCTCAGTGGCTATACTTAGATTAACATTCTAAAGTATACTTAGTTCCTAAAGTAACACGACTCTAGGCACCAGCAAAAGCAATAATGCATTTTATATATAATTAGCGTGGGTAATAGATCATCATAAAATAAATGAAAACCTATAATTTTAAAATACATTGTACAAATGTCTTATTTAATATCCTCAGGTATACTTCTGCTAAATTCTTCATGAACCGTGGTGGTAGAAGACTCAGAAGTCCTTGCTCCTCACCTAGATGCACACATTGTAATCAGATCCAATACACACACATTTTCCCTCTGTAAAGAAAGTACACCTTAGAATGTTAATGTAAGTATACAGGTTGGTAGGGATCACGATAAGATGCTCAATCATGTTCTGTACATGTTCATGAAAGTCTGTTCCTCATTACCCAAGTGTAAATCTCACATCACTACAACCTCCCCTCTCAACAGACACTCATGCTCTATCTTCACATTCAATACTGCACTCACTTATACCTGCCTTCCCAGCCCACAAAAACCTGCTCACTTGTGGTCTCTTTCCCCACTCAGCATCCCACCTATTCCCTCCTCTGCCCTCTCCACCATCTAGAATTTTGACAAGGTATCACATTATTGTAGCACTTTTCATGATCTGAGGAAAAATGCAAATACTTCTAAGCTATTTCAGGTGGGTGGAATTACAGTGGGAAACATTTTATAAGTTCAACTCAAATCTAAAATTTGACAAAACATTGATTGACATGATGGAGAAGAATTATCAAGGCCCAGACTTCAGGTTTTGGATCCAGCCATCATGCCCTTAATTGGGATGTACCTAGACCCTTCAAATCCATGCTTGAGTAGGCTGTGTGACAACTGCCATTACTGCTTCATCCAAACGCACTTTGGCTTACATTTCACCAAGAACCGAAGTATTACCCAGATATAAAAACATTCAGCTTTTGAACAAATTCAAGTTCAAAGACGGGTAAATATTTGACAAGAGAAAGGAACTGTTTTAACAGGAGGCAGTTAACAGAACTTGCATGTAACTTAAGTTGGCAACATAACATATAAAAAAGAGAAAATACACATTAACAAATATTAAAATATCCCATTTAAATGCAAAGTTTCTCTATATATTTCCAGCCACCCAACTCCTGAGCCAAAAGGCTGACTAATAATTTGTGAAACTTCAAATAGGCTTTGATACTCCACTTTTAGCCCAGTCTGTCCAAATCAGTGTTCTTCTCACACTCCTCCCACCCACAACAACCACCATCAATGCCCTTGACTCCTGTACGTGCCCCAGCCTCTCTTCAGTCCTGTAGTTTGCTTCCGTTCTTCTGGCCTTCTGCCCCAACTCTGTCCCCACACTGGCACCAGTCCAGCATTTGACCCCTATCTTCCCTCCAGCCCTAGCCCTGCCTCAGTCTCCCAACTCATCCAGCAGCAGTGACTCTCACAATAGAGGTGGCAGTGGATGACCCGGTGGTGGAGGGAACTGTCACTCAGTTCCTCTCTGCTGTATCTGCCACCAATTGGATTGGCTGTCCCATTGTGACTGAGAGCAGCGGAGGCCAATCACAGACAGGTAATCTGACTGAGGACACAATCAGCATGAAGCAGCCGAGTAACCGCTCACTCCTGGCCAGGCAGAAGGCAGAATTTTGCCAACAGAAACTTCTCTACCTTGGGAGTTTCTTGAAGATGAGGCAGACATGGCACGGCACTGAATTGAGATACTTCTGGCAAAGGGTGAGAAATGTTCATGAGCAAAGAGAATTACAACCCTTTGAAATGGCCCAACCTTTTGTTAGATCTTAGTAACTGTCTCAATAATGGATTCACACACACTTTAAAAATATGAAACAAAGAAAAGTTACTGTAGCGTGATGTAATATAACTGGACATCAAGAAATGCAAGCCTTGCAAGAAGCAATTTCAAATGAACTAAAATTAAAAATGCTTCAGTTAATTATTAATTCAGTCTTACCTGATTTTACCTTTGGAGGTTATGTCCACTCGCACAGGTTCAAAGCGATAGGCTGGTGATACTATTTCCACGACGTATGAACCAGAAGGAACATCATTTACAGTGAAAGTTCCATCTGTCCTGTAAAGTGAAATGTATAGGCTCCTTCAGAACATCAGCTTAGTAAACACCACATGCATACTCCAAAAATAACTATCAGCAACAATGTACAGCAGAATAACTGAATATAAAGTAGAAAGAGATCAATTACATTAGTGAACTTGCTGTTTAACATGCTGAGTCATTACAGAATGCAAAAAGGAAACAACCATGCTCTGAAGGAAGTATGGAACAAGGTGACGAGATCAATAGCAGTGCTAGAAGACTGGACTTTGGGAAAAGATTGGAGAAATTCAGGCCTTTCCACCTCAAAAAAGAGGCAACTGAGACTTGGGCTAGGTGATAATAAATGGTGAGTACAAATAATTTCTTTAAACTCAATTTTACTTTAGGAAAAACAATTGAGTCACAAATTCTGGAAATCGATTTTAAAAAATACCTGGATACCCTAAGGGCTACAGTTCATTTTGGGTGGGGTGTCATAAGAATAATGATTTTCTTCCAAATTTATTTTGTAGACTATTCACCATGGTTATTTTAGTCCACATCAGTCATTTCAAGCCACTTTTCCATTTTGCCAAAGATTCGTTCTGATACAATGTAGTCATAAACTTTAACCCATTGTTTGTTAATACTTCATGAATAACTCAACCATGCAGATGAGCTAAGGGCCCCTACGCTTACATATTAAACTAATCTTCCTTGTCTGCTGTCCCTGTTTGAGAATTTTTTTTAAACAATAATAAAGCCAAAGTCTTTAGCTACTTGTGGCAAACTAAGAAATGAAATACTTGAAAAAGTACTTAAAGTATTTTTTAAAAATAGAAGACACAGAGAGAAGGCAAGGAAATAGATAAACACAAAATTCGCCCAATTTAACCAATTCAATAGCCCAAATAGCATAATTGTATCAAAATTTTAAGATACTTTATGCATCAAAACATATCTAAATTTTAGGTTTGATCATTTAAAATGGCAGCCAAATTATCGGTAATGATGTCCTGTCAAAATAAACAGCTAATTAGCATGCTTCAGTACCTGGTGCGGTAGTAAATCAAGAAGTCCCAATGTTAATCTTTAGTCTGAAATGACTTGTGACTTTCAAGTCAAATGACAATAGGAAGGCAATAACTGGTTTCAGTACATCCAGATCTCAATACAACAACCTCCTCTGTAAACTGCAGCTGCTTGGGCATCAGGTGAGAAATTTGCATAACTGATACAACCAATGCTCTGAATCTGCCCACACAGACCAGCTGAGGTAGCTGACAGAACAATGGAAATATCTAACAGTAAGGAGTAATCATGAGAATAAGAGGAATAAACAGATTTATAAGTAGCCCAATGTTTTATTGAAGTTAAAAGATCTATTCAGCACTTGGCCACAGTGCTGTCCATTCCACAACAAAAAAAATGGAAGACTTGCGTGTAAGTACAGACCACCAGACATCTTAAAGTGCTTATCAGGCAGTGAATTATTTTCAAAGTTTAATCACTGTTGCAGTGTCGGCAACACTGCATCCAATTTACACAGAGCAAGGCCCCATAAACAACAACATGATAACAACCAGATCATTAATTTTCGTGATATAGCAAGATGTGTAATAACTGGAACAGTAGATATGACTCACCCATTATTATGAAATAGTGCCATTGGATCTTTTAGTAAACCTGTTCCCCACTGAAGAGAAACACAAAATTCTCTTCTGTCATACCTGCTCAACAGTAGGGGTACTTCAGAATGTATTTTGTTTGAGTAAGACGACTGTGGATTTACATCCCAACCCAAAACCATGAACTAAAAGTGGACGTTTCAGTTCATCACAGAAATGCATTGTTGGGGGCATCACCTTTCAGATGAGACACCGAACTGAAGCCTAATCCATTGTCTGAAATGGGCACAAAAATATCTCACGGCCATAGTTTTGAAAACCACATGGGAGTTATCTCTAGTGCCTTGGCTAATATTCACCCAGATTATCTAGGTCATTTATCACATCATTGTTTATGGGAAGTTGCAGTGTGCCAATATTTCCTTAATCACAATAGTTACTAAATTTCTAAAGAATTAATTGGTTGTAAAGCTCTTTAGGACATGCTGAGATCTCGAAAAATGGCTCAAAGTCTTTTTTTTTTGTTTGACTTAATGGACAAGTAATCTAAGGTATGGGTTAACATACTGTACAGCGTCTTCAAAGATGTGGGTTCTAAGCCCATCAGCTAGCTGTAGCTCAAATCTTATTCAGGCCCAGATGGACGCCAAGTGCAATTAGCATAAATTGGCTGTAAAAAAAACCTTAGCACCTCACTCCACCTTTTTATTTTTAAAAACATCACCTGCTGCAAAATGTGCAGATCCAGCACTAGGCTGTTCTATCACATCAGGACCCATAACCCCGAAGTGGAAGAAAGTCAACTTTGGTTTTGAGGGAAGAAAGGTAGCACACACCCTTTTGAGTCATAAGGTTCAAGTCCCACCTCAGAGCTTGAAGACACCTCAAAGCTGACAGTGCTATGTGCTCAGAACAAGTGCTGCACTGTACTATCAGAGGTGCCACCTTTCACGAGAAATTAAACAGAAGTTAATCTGACTGCTCGGCTGGATGGTAAAGATCCTGCAGCACTATTTCAAGGAAGAGCAGAGAAGTTAATGCCACCATTAGTCTCTCAATCACTGGGGAAGCTCAAAATGACTGCTGCAATTCCTCTACTCCAACAATATCACACTTCAAAGTCTTCTTACTAACTGTCCAACACTTTAAATCGCCGGGTGATCGTGGAAGGCGGTATGCAAATGGAAGTTCTATCTGATGGGTCTTCCTGAGGTGGCGAAAGAAGTTGCATAAAATCCAATCCGGATCCTGCTCCCTCCCCCCGCCCAGGCTGCTCGGGTCGAGGCCTGATCGACAAAACCGTGACTGAGCAGGTGAGGCCCCAGCTCTAGACCCAGTCCCCGGCCTCTCCTTACTTGAAGAAGCCGACATGCTCCTCTCCCTCCACCAACACCCGCGCCGTGTGGATCCAATCCTGCGGCCTGACGCCGGGTACTACCGCCCGACCCTCGATTTTAAACTTCTCTCCGACACCCTCTGCTTCTGAGCCGGCGCCCAGTCTGAGAGCCAGCAGGAAACACAAGAACCGGGAGACGACAACCTCCACCGCCATCATCCTTTCAGCCTGAAGGGTGTGAACTCTCACCTTTCAACCGTGACCTCTGGGTCCCGCCTGCACTAAATTCCAAATCAGTCTGAGCTGTCAATCATCATCAAGCTGCATTTACACCCAGTGAGGATCCGAGAGATGCAAATCATTATGACATCTTTCAAATATATGCAACTATGCTCAACAGACAGGATTTATTCATTTATTTACATGGGTATATGCAAGAAATACACACCACATAAAGCAAAATAGCGCTCCTGTATTTCTTTATTTTCCTATTTTATACTAGGAACTATAATATAGAACGATTAGCTTTTTTTCATTATATTTCTATTTTTGTACCAAATCTACTTTAGTACATAAGATTTGTAAGTAGGTTCTTTGTACCCAAGATGATGCCATGGTGATATTGTACATTTCTCACTGAATTCCTATACTTTTATTCCTGAGCACGTGACAATAAAAAAAAACTTAATTCTCTGAGACAGCGGGGCCAGAGTTAAAACATTATGCTCCTAAATGCCTGAATGTGAATACACCTGCCCCTCAACCCCCACAAATTCTGATTTGTACAGGGTAGTTGTGGAATTGGAAACCGCCCTAGTCTGCGAGCCTGTTGAGTTCCTTAAGGCTCACGCCCCAAATGTCACTAAGTCAAAAACCATACACTCCCTCATCAACGTTGTGGGTGTACCTCCATCCGAGGCATGGCAGCCTTCAGCTTAGAGATGACTATAGTGATTCAATGAGAAAGCAGTTCTACAGCAACTGTAGACCGATGTTCAAGAGGACAGCTCATCACCTTCGTGTCAGGGCAATTAGGGATAAGAGACAAATACTAGCCTTGTTAGCAAAACATATCCTATGAAAACAATAAAATTAAGGTTTTAGTACTGGACATTTCACCAGGCAGGCAATGTTAATTTAACCTTGCCTTTTTTTTTGAAGTCCCTTATCTTCCTGGTCAATTCTACTGTCTGTTTAATGATTAAATTAAAAAAAAACACTTTCATTTAACTGATAAACTAATATCTTCATTGGCATTGAGAAGTTTTACCAAAACAAAGCAATTCTCTCAATTAGGCTTGTATTGTTTTATAGTTGTATGTTGTTCACAAAGACAGGAGAATTACAGATTTCTTGTGAAATCTTGGGGATTTAGATTTGTATGAATATATTGATAAACTTCATAACTTTTCATTAGATGAAAACGACAATGTTAACAAGGTAACGTCCTACTAACTTCACTATTTGAAGTTATAATGTTGATGAATGAAGTGTGGTTAGTAAAAACTAGGAGCAGGAATAAACAATTCAGCCCCTCAAGCCTTCTCCATCATTAAACATAATCGTGAGTGACTTTATCTCAGCCTCAACTCCACTTTCCTGCCTGGTTCTCATATCATTCAGCCGGTTACTAATTAAAAATCTGTCTACTTCCTCAAAATTTATTCAGTGTCATGGAGTACATTGCACTCTTGCATAGTGAATTACACAGATTCATGAACATTTGTGATAAGTAATTCATCCTCATCTCAATTTTAATCTGCCAACCTTTGCCTAAATCTGTGACCACTCATTTTATATTGTCCCACAGAAGGATTCTTGATGGTGTGAATCTGGATTTTCAAAAAGTAATAAGAAAGAATCACACAAAAGGCTGCTTGATACCAAGATGCTTACTATTCTCAAGGCACCCAACTGATGCAAGTTTTATACAGTATAACTCAAGTTTTATTTTGAATGCTTCCAAAAAAACAAAAATCAGATTCAACAAAGAACTCATTGGCACACAGCCACATCTGAGGCAGATAATTTGATCCATACATGCCAGTGAATCCCCAAAACGTGAAACTATTTCACCTCCTCTAGCAACAATTCACAGCACCTTAGAAATATAACTAGGCTACACACATCCAGTTCTTACACAAAAATTTTAAGTGATTCTTTTGGAACAAAACTGTTAATTAAAGAAGCAATGACTATATTCAAGAGGAGCTTTACTAATTGTTTGGTATTACAGTCCATTCATAGGCATTGAATAGAACATTGAGGTATTCTAAATATTTATAACATTGATGTCTTTATTGTAAACGTCAGCAAATCTTTCTTGCAATAAATGCAGTACATTTACCAGTCATGTACACCTTTAGATTTTTTAAAAAAAAAACTTCTTGATTGACAATTCAATTTATGTTAACATCACACAATTGAAGATGCTTACTGCACAGAGTACTACTATTTGCTTTGTATTGATAAAGGGGCATAAACAGTTTACACTTTATACAAACTACAGGGCATAATCATGAATATATCATGAGTTTAACACTTATAAAATAGGAGCATATAATGCAAATTTTATGGTGTCAATTTTGGATAATTACAGTAAGTGGCCTGCTCTAGGAAAGATATTACTAAATTGGATGGTACAGAAAAGATTTATCAGGATGTTGCTGGGACGAGGGGATTTGATTTGTAAGGATAGGCTGGGACTTTTTTCACTGGTGCATAGGAGGTTGAGGGGTGACCTTAAGGAGGTTCATAAAATCATGAGGGACATAGAAAACGTGAGTAGCAAAAGACTTTTCCCTAGGGTGGGGGAAGCTCAAAACTAGGGGGCATATTTTTTAAAATCTTTCTCCTTTCACCTTAAAAGGGACCTGAGGGGTAACCTTTTCACGCAGAGGGTGATTTGTACGCAGAATGAATTGCCAGGCGAAGTGGTAGATGCAGGCACAATTACAACATTTAAAAGACAAATGGACAGTTACATGAATAGGAAAGCTTATAGAGGGATATGGATCAAATGCAGGCAAGTGGGACTAGTTTACTTTGGGAAACTTGGTTGGCGTGGACAAGTTGGACAGGAGGGTCTGTTTCCGTGCTGTACGACTCCATGATCTATGACTATTGTTTGGATGAGTCGGAGATTTGTACATCAGATCTGGTAGAACGACGAATGTTTTGTACTATGTCCCATCAGTGATGAAACATCTCATTTTGTAAAACATTCAGAACAACTCAGCTCAACTATCTAGAATTTATTTTCTTTAAAATTGCATGTGAATATTCAGCTAAAACTAACCACAATCTATAGAACTTTCTGATGATGCTGCAGTAGTAAAACTATTTTACCAATGATGAAACAACCAACTCATTGGCAAACTCTCGTTCAGCTTCGCACTTATTAAAAAGCATGTCACATGAAAGAGTTGAGCAGAGGCACTATTTCACAAGCAGATAAATTTGTTATTTCGCTATATTAGAGAGATCAGTTAATTTTTTCCACTCACTCTAATGTTGACTGATCAACTCTCCCAAAGTTGGTTGCCATTATTTTTGTTATCTGATCTCTTCTTGGGCTATTTATTCTTAGTTTCTTCCAGAGTCAGAAAAAATAAAAGCATCTCATCTTTGTCATTTCAAAAAAGCTTGAATATTCTATAGTATATGAACCTACAAAAGTGATTTCATCAAATTATGTAGGAATTGAAGTACACAAAAGAAAAATAACCTTTTCCAAATTTTTTTTGAGACATTTCAAATTTAAATACTGGGCTGCAAATATAACTTACACAACTACGCAGAATTTGTTTCAGACTCCAATGAATAGTCATAACAGTAAACACTGACTAATGAGTTTGAGTTTGGCAAAATATGCATCCAGCTAAAATCGTATTTCCAACTAAGTTACTTGATTACACGCTGCTTTTCAGAAAAACAGAAAAGTGCACATGTACCAAAATTTAGCTGATTGTACAGTACTGCTTAAGTAAGTTATTCAAAGTTAGATCCCAACAGACAAAGTAAAATCTGATGCTGCAGTAAATTTGAATGTTATCAGACTAGTTAGCTTGGAATATGAAAGAGAAAAATGGTACAAATAGTACAGAATGTACACTACATCAATAGACCATCTTTGGTCCAACTGATCCATCCTGATGTTGATGTTCCTTAGGCACATCTTCCCAACTCCTCCTCGCTGTATCAGAGCAACCTTTATTCCATATGTTTCAGAGCATCTATGCTAGCCACCTCAATGGTCATAAATGATGTTGTTTTTAAACTTTTGTTATGAGTGGTTAGCTTTTTTGCACTGTGCGATCCATTTAGAATTGACAAGTAACCACAGAGCACACATCTTGAACCATTTGGAAGCACTGAAAGAATAGGAAAGGTACAAAATGTATCTGCGTTTGCTAAATCATGAAGATTGGCTTGATAGCATCATTACTGGCCTCAGTCCTGAATAATGTAGCTGCCAGGCTGAGCCTGTAATTCATGTAGAGAAAACTAGAGTGAGGGAAAAACGGTATTTTACTTGGACTTAACACCAGTCAGCCTCTACATCTATTGATAACAGTAGTTGAGGGTATGTCCGCTGCAAAGTCCTCATGAAGAAGTAAGGCATGCAAAAGACATAAATAAGGAGACAGCAATTAACCCATTAACTCCTTGTAACAAGACTCAGCTTCCTCCTCCAAGTATATGTCAAATTCCTTCAGGGTCAGTTCTGTATCTACCAATGCTACAAAGGAACAAAAAAAAACAAAATCGTGCATACATTTCTCTTGATCCGGCGGTTTTTGCCTTAATAATATTTCTAATATTCTATTTCCTTTCTCGACCACCCTTTACTACTTTTAATGGGTAAGTACACATGCAGGCACAAGTTGCCTGATCCCATTCAATGGCATTGGACTACCTTAGTTTTGTTCATCCAGAATAATTCAAACATTCGCAACCCTCAGTTTTTAAATTATTGTAAGACGTTTGCCAGTAGTACTATATCGGAGAGTGTATTTGATGCATTGATCACAGAATCAGAAGTCCAAATCTCACTCCAGAGACTTAAACACATAACCTAGATTGGCACTTTGTGTGATTCAAGAGAGTACTATGCTGAAGAGCTATCATCTTCTGAATGAGTAATTAAATGGAGGTACATCTTACAACCTCAGGTGGATATAAAAGATTCTGTAACACAACTTAAGAGTGCAAGGAAGTTCTCTATCTTATCCTGCAACCAACAAATTATCTGATTATCACATTGTTGTTGTTGCATCTTGCTGTGTGCAAAATGGCTGCTCATTCCTGCCGTAACAACAATGCTGACACTTCAAAAGCACTTCATTAAATGTATCGATGTGTTTTGCAGGCAGAGTGCATAAGAAAGGCACTATATAAATGCAAGTTATTCTCTTAGTGAACAATATCCTGATATCTGTCCTGTACAAGCTTTACACTTTCTATTCCTTCTACTTTCATACATTTAAAACGGTGATGTCAGATATTTCTTTACAATAATGTGAAACGAAGGGTGAATCAATTGAAATGTTTAAGATCAGTAAACAGTGTTATCGTAGACAGAGAAAATGCTTCCACAGTTGGAGGAGTCCATATTAGGTTGACATAAAATTAAAGCTAAGATGTTTGGTACTGTCAGGAGCTATTTTCTGCTTTTTTAATATTCTTATTTATAACCTGCCCTATCATCTTTCATGGATTCAATCTGGATCAAGAATGTTAGCCATCTCTCAATAAAATCCAAACAAAGTTGTACCGTTACCAGTCCTGTGTTAATCCCTTCACATTTTTGCAACAGTATTGTTAAACACTTACTTATAATGGGCAGTTAAATGCATTTTCTTTTCAACAGGAAAGCAAAAGGAAAATTGCAAAAGAAGAGCAATCCAAACCACATGTCATTGAATAACCTCATTAAAAAGAAATTGGATGCACAAGTCATCGGTGAGTACTATGTAGAGACATAGCATTTTTTATTTAAGTGCAAAGTCACAAGAAATATCTACTTTAATGTTTCAATTAAAAGAATACAGTGCTATGCACATTTTGTTAATGTCACCTTACTGATATTAGTAAACTGCTGCATGCTCTATTATGGTGCTTTCTTTACTGAAATTATAACTTATTATCGTTGCACGGTCATATGAAACTTTACAACCTTGAATCAAATATACAGAAAATACATTCATAGTGTCCAAGAGCACTGAAGCAGCATTTCAGTGCAGATGATTGGCACTAGTCTGACAGTATTGAAGAACACAGACCTTCTGGTCAAGTTAGGCTACATGAATCTGGAATGCAAAACAGTGTCACATCATCAGCTCACAGAGTCGAGTATATGCCACTTGGCAAATAAACCACTTCAATGTGAAGTAGCTTCATTGGGTTCAATAGTGGTTTTAGAACATAGTTTGCAACCAATTTTGTGCTGAGCCTACTTTGATCACTTTCTGCAGTGCTGGTCTCCCAAATATTTTAACAAATAAGGAGGTTGAAATGATGTTGCAAAGCAGCTTTTAACTGCTGATAGTACTTGAAAAATGAAGCTCCCTGGATACTGCAGATATTTAGTACAATTGCTCCAGGTAGGATCCCACACTCTGCAGAAACAAAAAAAAACACAGCTTGTTAAAACATTCCTATTATGAGTCAAGGCTTGTTATTGTTAGATTGAAACAACAAACCATGCATTCTATCCAAAATTAAAAGATTGGGAGGTTGCTGCACATCACCAAAATACAAAGTTTGATTATCTACATCAGCAATTGACAAATGTCATTATTAGGACTCATAGCAAAATAGTGAAAAGGACTCCCAAACAACTGAAAACTCGTCTATTTTATAATACTTGTCTGCTTGGAAGAAAGCTTTTTCACAACTGCTGTCGAACAATACATCTGACCAGGTACAATTATAGGCACAACATATGGAGGATCGATCATTAAACAAAACAAATTATTTTGATGATAAACTTTGAAATATTTTTGTCACTATAGCCTTAGAACTGCATTAAATAATTTTGGAATGAAGAGCTCCATTAATTCTTCTTTGTTTAAAAACTTTAGTCTCAATGCCCGAGAGCTGTCAAAATGTCATCCCAATGGCAATGTCTGAAGGCATAAAGCATTGCAACCAAAAAAGTATGCTACCATATCAGATATTCTATGTTGAGCAGTTAAATATCTTTCCATTTTCACTGGAAAAAGAAAAAAAGACAATTAAATAAGGTGTACGTAAACCAGTACCAATTGCTAGGAAGCAACATTAACTGGTCATTGGCATGGACTCATGTAGCAGGTGAAGTCATATTTTGGGACAATAAAAGAGAATGAAAATCTGTAACAATGATGACAACTTCTTTCAAATACCATTCGGCCCATTGCGTTCAGACCAAACATCCAGACCCATTCCCCTACCGTATTTCCCATAGCTAACCCACCTAGCCGGCATACCCCTAGACACAATGGTCATGCTAAATTGCCCAATCACCTAACTCGCACATCTTTGGACTGTGGGAGGAAACCCATGCAGACATGGGGAGAATGCACAAATTGCACACAGACACTCACCTGAAGGTGGAATCGAACCCAGATCCCCGGCAGCGTGAGGCAACAGTGCTAACCACTGAGCAAATTCTAAAACGTGTAATTTCTTGTTACTTGGAAATACAAAATGCGAGTAGGTGAAGTTCTTTCGAATTTTTTCTAAATATGGGCAGAGGAGGACAAGATTTCAAGTTGATGGAAATGGAAATAGTTCTTTTTTAAGAAGTTTGGCACAATCATTTAGCAAATGATTTCAGTTAGACTTAAGGAACCTTGGTTGACAAGACATGTGGAACATTTCACCAAGAGGAAGGAAGCTTAAGGTTGAGGAAGTAAGGATTGGACAGGGCTCTAAAGGGTTAAGGTAGCCAGGAAGGAACTGAAAAATGGACTTAGAAGAGCTAAAAGAGGGTATGAAAAAGCTGGCGGTTAGGATTAAGGAAAACCCCAAGGCATTCTACACTTATGTGAGGAACAAGAGGATGGCCAGAGTGAGGGTAAAGCCGATCAGGGATAGTGGAGGGACTCTTGTGCGGAGCTAAGGGAGGTCCTTAATGAGTACTTTGCTTCAGTATTCACCAGTGAGAGGGATCTTGTAGTTTGACAGGACAGTGTGAAACAGGCTGATATGTTCGAATAGGTTGATGTTAGGAAGGAGGATGTGTCAGATATTTTGAAGAAATGAGGATAGATAAGTCCCCTGGGCCAGACGGGACATACCCAAGGGTACTACGGGGAGCAAGGGAAGAGATTGCTGCGCTTTTGGCAATGATCTTTGCGTCCTCACTATCCACTGTAGTAGGACTGGAGGGTGGCAAATGTCATTCCCTTGTTCAAGAAAGGAAACAGGGATAATCCTGGGAATTACAGACCAGTCAGTCTTACTTCTGTGGTGGGCAAATTATTGGAGAGGATTCTGAGAGATAAATACTACGATTATTTGGAAAAGCACAGTTTGATAAGAAATAGTCAGCATGGCTTTGAGAGGGGCAGGTCATGCCTCACAAGCCTTATTGCATTCTTTGAGGATACGACAAAACACATTGATGAAGGTCGAGCAGTGGATGTGCCGTATATGGATTTTAGCAAGGCATTTGATAAGGTTCCCCATGACAACCCATTCTCTGCCATGTCCGGGACCGCTCTCTCCGGGACTTCCTTGTCTGCTCCACACTCCTCATTAGCCCCACCACCTTTCCCTGCAACCGCAGGAGGTGCTACACCTGCCCCTACACCTCCCCCCTCACCTCCATTCCAGGCACCAAGAAAACCTTCTACATTAAAACAGATGTTCACCTGCACATCCGCTAATGTGGCCTCCTCTACATCAGGGAAACCAAGCGGAGGCTCGGAGACCGCCTTGTGGAGCGCCTACACTTGGTTCGCGACAAAAGACAACACCTCCCAGTCGCAAACCACTTCAACTCCCCCTCCCACTCCCTGGACGACATGTCCATCCTGGGCCTCCTCCAGTGTCACAACGCTGCCATCCGAAAACTGGAGGAACAGCACCTCATATTCCGCCTTGGAACTCTAAAACCCAATGCTCTCAATGTGGACTTTACCAGCGTCAAAATCTCCCCACCCCTGACCTCATCCCAAGACCAGCTCCCCCTCTCGTCCCCGCCTCCTTGACCTGTCCATCTTCTCTCCCACCTATCTGCTCCTCCCAACTCATTGACCAACCCCCACTTCCTACCTACACTCACCGCCTCCTTGACCTGTCCATCCTCTCTCCACCTATCAGCTCCACTATTCACCTTCCACCACCACCTCCCCCCTCTCTATTTATTTCAGAGCTCCCTTCCCCTCCCCCATTTCTGAAGAAGGGTCCAGACCCGGAACATCAGCTTTCCTGCTCCTCTGATGCTGCCTGGCTTGCTGTGTTCATCCAGCTCCACACCTTGTTATCTCAGACTCCAGTATCGGCAGTTCCTACTATCTCTCCATAAAAAGATAAGGCTGGTGCATTCTGGCTGAGGTGAATTTTTAACGTAGTAAGTCATAACGATTCAGTGGCAATGGAAGTTTTACATGTTCAGAGATTCATTCCTTCAGGATTTAGTGTTGGAATATAAGAGAAAAATATTTGTCTATTTTTGCAGTGTTTCTTGTTGCACACTCTCTTAATCCTAACCTTTCTCACCAAATATTTTTTGGTATGCAAATTAAATTGCACTTAAAAGTTCCTGGTTTAGGGCATACCTCAAGGTTCAGGAGTCTTGCTGTTTCTTTCCCAGTTCAGAAACCGATCTACAAGAGGAGGTTGATGTGCACAAAATGACCTCAAAAGATGCAAGATGCCACTTAAAAGTTCAGCAGAAGCCTGCCGACAGCTAACAGCAAGACTACTTCGAAAGAGAATCCTTTGACCCTGATTGCAAAATGTAGGCCTTTACTTTTGAGGAAGGTGGAAACAGAAGAATTGAGCGATTAAGAGAAGAAATGATTAAACAGTTCCTACCTTAGCTACTTTTCCAGTATACCCTGGAACTGAAGATAAATGAAAGCCTTGCTCCCGTAATTGCCGTAGCTGATCTTTCAAAACCTTAATGTTTCTAGAATAAAGTATTTCAAAGACTAATATTAACATTTCAAAATGCTTGGAAAATAATTTCAGGGTTCAACAGTTTAGGAAATACTACACTTTAAAAAATATGAAATGCAACTACATCTCAAACAGGTAACTTGAATTTTTCATTTTTGCAGCACTCTTCATTTTGCATGGTGGTAACCATTTTACTTATTATGCACAATAAAACTAGGCAAAGTAATTGAACTAGACATAACTTCAGCATGTTAACCTGTGTCAGAATAATAGAGCAAAGAAAAAGCATCAGATTATCAGTGATCAATACAATCATTTGTGTCCTTGCTCTACATAATAAACCGATTACATATAATTGCAGTCCAGATAACTGAAGGTTCACATTTTTTTGACATCTCTAAGGAATTCAGTGGAATCAGGACAATAAGCAAAAGCAGGAGAGGCTGGGTCAATGTATTTGCTAGACTGAATTGGAAGATTTTTGATCTACAGTTAAGGAGTTATGAGATAGCTTATTTCTTAAGTTGGCCAAAAGAAATAAGCTATTACATCCTATACAATAAAATTCCATTCAATCATTTTGGGGATATTTAAAACACAAGTTTCCACATTTATTAAGAAATAAAATATGATTTCACTTACCTATCTGCTACACGAGTTTCATCATTATTTGCAGTATTTGCAGATAGCTCTGGCCACCATTGCTTAAGGACAGCTCGGAGCCAGTTTAAACCAACAATCAGATATCTGCAATATTTGAAAACATTTATATAAAAGGTTTAATACAATATGCCATAAACAAATACAAGTCTATGCAATGAACTGTGATGCGATTGCAACAGGGTGTTGAGCCTGAGCTTTCCAATTGTTATGATGTATCAGGCACACTGGGTGAAGTGGGTTTTATTGCGTTTGCATGCAACAGATATTAAAAATAAAACTTGTATAAAAAAATTTGTGGGCCCTATCTTTCTCATTTTGCATAACAAGAACATGCCAGCAGTTAATAGATTTAATCCTGGTGCAAACATGAGGGGTAAGTTCCATGTCTATTAGGAAGGACCATGAGATTTAGATGTTTAAAATAAAACAACAGTCTGAATACAAGTGACCTAAACCGCCAAGCCAAAACCTAGCCCAACCTAACTTGGAAGCTCAGCCTCAACAGCACAAAATCTCAAGCCATCTTCAAATTCATCTGACTCCATCCTTCACATGCTAATCTGAGCTCAGTTTCAGCTGAGGCCATTTCCAGTAGTCTTGATCCAAAATGGCAACTACCGCAATTTTATGCAGATTTCAGGCCCCTATCACCCCAGTTCTATACTCAGCCTATAAACAAAATGGCAACAAATCCAGTATTCCTTTAAAAAACAATTCAAACCAATTTCAGTTTCATTAATCTCTGGTTTACATCTAAAAGTGAAGCAATAGCAGAATAAACAAAAATGTAGGAAATAAATCTTTTACCTTTTAAAAACAATTACATTTGGGATTTGAAATGTAACCTAATAAGTCTTTTCATTGAGCTGGAGATATGCTTTAACTGTGAACTTTCTGTTCCCTGCTTAAGCTGCTTTTCCCATTGCCCAGTTTGAGATGCAATGCTCAAAAGGCCATCTAGAGGACTTAATACTCGTACATCAGTTTAAAGCAGTACAAACTAAATTTCTCAAATAACCACAAAAAAACTAATCGAGGGCAGCACAAAAAGGCCACACAGGACAGAACCAGGCCATTGAGTGACAGAGTTTATGTCCTACTCAAGGTTCTTCTTATCTTCCCTCCTCCGATGCCAGAATTGAAACCCTCCAATTCTTTCTCCTCATGTACTAGTCTGGCTTTCCTTCAATTGCACATATACTATCGAATATAATCACTCACTGATCTAGGATATTAGGCTCCTAAAATACAGTAAAGCAGCTTCTGTAATTTCATTATACTTACTCTTCATATCTGCTTCTTAATAACTCTTGCGCTAGTGGTAAGAGGTCAACACAACAACCTACGGAGATGCTTTGTTTTTCTTCCTCCAGACTATAAGCAAAAAATAAAGAATATTAAAAGAATATTTGACGAAAATATTAACTTTAGACGGAAAACAAGTTATTTTAATATTACCTTTTCGTAAGCACTGGTAGACAATCTGCAGTAACAGCAATGTCATGTATCCTGCAGATGACAGAAAGATTCAACATCATATCACATGAGAATTAAGACAAATTATTGGAAAGTAATGATGCATGGCAACAAATAAAGTGGAAGATTTCTATCTACCTTTCCAATACAGATTGTGTTCAGTTTACCGATATTGTAATAACGAAGTTTATGATCGAATTTATAACGCTGACTTACATAAAATAGATTTAGTACAATGCTAAAGATCAATTAAATATGATTATTACCTGACCAGATAAGCTACCAGCTCACTTGCACTTTTCTGCCAGAATGTCAGAGCTACGTTCAGTCTTAAGTTTCTACCAAATAGTACTTGTGTCATTGTAGCATGATCCTTAGAAATCTGTGGTATTAACAGAACCAAACAGAAAGAGTTAGGTAGTAAAAGCAGTTAATTTCTTTGTTGCTGAACACACTTTAATACTTTCCATGGCTCCCAAATTCTTGCAGTATTTCCATTCGTTTTAAGGCTACGTATACACATTAGAATTTAAAAGAGGCTTAACAGTCTCTATAATCACTATATTAATGGAGACACTGAAACACTCCTCTGCTAAGTTACCGAAGAGGGATAACAAATAATATTTTAAGCACTTGGTATCAATACCATTTTTTAAAATCTCAATTGTCTTGAAGCTTTGCAACTTCTTCCTTCCTGCATGATACATGCAATACATATTAACTGATGATTAATCACTGTTGGAAATACCTATTTACTTATACCACACAGATACCACGAGAAGCAACTCTAAAATATTCACAGATGGTAGGAATTGCAGATGCTGGAGAATCTGAGATATACAAGGTGTAGAGCTGGATGAACACAGCAGGCCAAGCAGCATCAGAGGAGCAGAAAGGCTGACGTTTTGGACCGAGACCCTTCTTCAGAAATATTCATACCAGTGTTAAGGAAGCTACAAATTAGACTTCACTATACAAACAAAAATAGCTGTTTTTTAAAAGAATCAAACTACTATTTTTGGATGCTGTTTTGCCCAATGGAAACAAACAAAAATAAAAGCTGTTCAGCCAAAAAGGATGTTGGCCACATCCGCCTCTTTGACCCAGTCAGTGTTTGTGGAAGAAGCATTCACTCCAAGATGCTCCTGTCACTTTTGAAAGCAGTAAAACTAAGTAAACGACACTAAACTGGCATACAAAGTCTCTAGCAGGGTCAGGGAGAGAGCCACAAAGAAATTCAGATGAGTAAGAGAGAAATCAGCTATTTACCACCTCTTGCTTTAGGGTAAACTATGGAATAGAAAATACTGTACGTGGCTTGTATAAAAACCATTAATATTAAAATAAACAGAATTAAAAGACCAAATTCAGGTCCTCCTGATAACTGTTGATAAATGCACTAAATAATATGGTACTAACTCAAAGCCACAAAGTACGCGTTTTGAACAGTAGCTCAATTGTGTTTAGCAACATCAGGAACTTTATGACTGGCTTCTGTTGGAGAAACACTGGGTGAGTCTCTTCCAGTGACTCCTTTCCAGGCAAATGTGTAGATGCTGGATGACAGAATGATCAGGATATGCTGCAATGATACGCTAGATTCTACTGTACATTTTTTGCAACGTTTACCACCGCCATTTTTCTCAACTCTTTCAGTGCCTTTGACTTGCCACTGATGTGCATCTGATATTCAGTAGTGGATCAGCACAAGTTGCTGATTAAAATAATGACGTCACAGTCACACAGAACCTTCCGTGCCCTGCTCAAAGTGCTTTCCTACTTTTTGAAGTGGTCACTGTTGCAATGTAGAAAAATGATGTAGATAATGTGTGTAAAACAAGCAACCAGAAATTGCAATGTGATAAATGACCATACCAAGTTTTTTTTTGTTGATTGACAGATAGGGAGTCCAAAACAGAGGAGAACGCCCTTGTTTTTGTTTGAAATACTGATGGACAGATTTGTTACATTGTCCAGAGAAGGCAGATTGGGATTTCAATTTAATTCTCATCCAAAAGGGACTCAGTCAAATGCAGTGCTCCCTTATCACTGACACCTGGAGTGCTAAACAGTAGTAGAAAGACAACACAGCCATGGTCTTGAGGCCTTGCTACAAACAGCTTCCTGGCTACTGACTTCATTCCTCTTCTCTGATTGAACTTCACTCACTTAAGACAGGGCTGAGATTCTGAATATAAATTCTCTTCATCAGTAAAACTATTTCAAAATGCATGCCATTTGATTTTCCTCCTGTATCTCAACCCACCAGCAACTGAAACAAACTCTCGATTGTGTCTTTATTACCTGGAGATTAAATTACTCCACTGCTTCGAGAAAGTGGTTAACTTCTAACATTGTATAAATTTTAATTGACCTATTTTCCTATTCAACCTGTTCAGACATGTTATTACACTCCTTTGGAGCAGGTGGGCTTTGAACACAGTCCTGGGGTAGAGGTGCTACCACTGCGCCATAAGAAGGCCCCTTTAAACAAATGCTGAAATGGAAAGTAACTGCCTCTTCTGCTGAAACCCAGTTATTTAATCCAAATGTTTGCAGCCTAAACCCTAACTCAACCCAAATTCTGTTCATCTGTGATTGCTGATCTACACTAATGTTTCATATTTTAACTTTGTATTCAAATCATAACAGTGGCCTGACCTCATCCTACCTCCAACCAACCCCCTGCCAACTCCCCTTGCCTCTCCCAAACACACACATAATCTTGCAACCTTCCCAGATCTCAGCAATACTCCAAACTTAGAATCGCTCACAATTCAAATTTTTATCTGAACATTTCTACCTTTCTCATCATTTAAGACATGGATTGAAATCTCTTTGATTAAGCTTTTGGTCATCTATCTTAATTTCAGTTTGGCTTGATGTCAAATTCTGTTTGGTAACATGCCAAGGAAACGCCTCAGACGTTTTAACTTTGCTAGAAAAAGTGAAAATAAATGCCAGTCCGTTATATATATTGGATTTATTTGGATAAAGTGTATGTGAAACTATATCGTCTGTTTGAATAAACAACTTAAAAGGCAATTGAAAAGTACAGGAGGTAAAAGAAAGAAATAGCAATTTGGGTTCAGCTAGAGATATCTGGGGGGAACATGAACACAGATGATTTTTCAGTGTGACAGGACAGGTTTGGAAGGCTGTACAAACAAATACACTATTCATGCTAAATTTCTATAATTGATTGGTTAAGTCCCAGTTGCAGTATCATGTCAAATTCTGGGCACGATTCAAAAGGAGTCAAGCAGAATCTCTTTCTGGTCTATATGGAGAGAATAGAAATTTGAGCTATTGTCCTCAAAGAGGAGCTGTTTAAAGGAAGACTTAATAGGGTGACTAAAATCACAAAAAGATTTGACCAAATAATTAAGTAGAAGTTGTTTCCAATAGCAGATAAGTTTGTAAACAGAAAAAAAAGTGTTAAGGTAACTGGCAAATTAACTAAAGAGCTCAGTGGGTCATGGTGATCTGGAATGTGCATGTCTAAAACTGTATTAGAAATAATTCAAATATTATTTAAAAAGGGACCTGGATAAATACAAGGTGAAATAAAAGTGGTTCTCTCACAACCAAATCAGACATTTTCAATTTCAATGGGAAGAAACAAAACACTCAATTAAGTCTTAGCAACAGAGAACTGATGACACCCTACCTGTGCAAAATAATCTGCATATGTAACAGAAGTACTAGTCTGTGAAGCAGACGAATCACTGGAGTTCAGCTGTGAGCTGCGATTGTCATTGCATAATTTAGGTACAGCTCCTGAACAGACTACTTCATTTTCTTTATTTGCCATGTCACAGCTCCAAAGGTTTGGATGCTGTTTCCCGTTGCCCACGATACTTTGGGCTCTAAGTCTAGTCTTCTTTTTACAACACGTCGTTTTGGATGTTCTGTGCAATGTTTTCTTTGTTTGTCCAGTAGATAATCTGTTGAGATAAATCCAGTAGTTGTAGGTATATTTGGTCCCAGCAAATCTATTTTCACTAGCAGAAAAAAAAATGCACTGCAGTTATCTCTATTGTGCTTCTTTGTTATTAAGAACAAAGGAACAGAAGCACACAACTCACTATCCCATCTCATGAATCGAGAGATATGCAGAGTTCCATACTGGACACGATAAACACATTGTTTGGTATTGCTGAGGGCTATGGAGATAGGGCTGGAGAATGGGACTAGTTGTGTCACTCTTTTGGGACCCTGTACAGACACAATGAGTCGAATGGTCTTCTGCTGTGCTGTAAAATTCTATGATTCTAAAAGTTTCTAAAATATTTATGAACAAGAGACAATTAAAGTTATAAACTCCTGAATGACTTGCAGTTCAGAATCAGTGATGAGATATGCAATAGTATGGATGGAGCTTGCTCATTTTATTTTAGTTCTGCAATCTTAGTAACTGGTTATTCAACTGTTCAGCAGGTAACATGATGTTTGTCAACACTTTCTACTAGGGATGCTGCCTGACCTGCTAAATGCTTCTAACAATTTTGTTTTTGAATCATTTGACTTTCTTATAGTCAAATGGAGAGAGAGTGCGGTGAAATGGACATTTAGACAGACTTGAAAACTAAAACTTTTAGCTTTTGCTTTTGGAACTGTCTGCTGTGCTTTCTAACCTCTAATTAAGTGACAACCTCAAAATATCTAGATCAGCATTCTAAGATCCATTTAGCATCAGAATTTAATTTTAAATCGCCCATTGGGTGAAATACATGTAGCATTTTATCCACTGAAGAGTCTTTAGATGCTGGCTGCAGGAGGTAGGGATACCACAACAAAAACACCGTCTTTTCAGTTTTTTTTTGAGGGGTTTGGAAAGAATGTGACTTGTCTCCCTATTTCCCCTAAAGATTTCTTTACTACATCCCCATTCCAGGAATATACGGAATGCTAGCACAACCTGACTTTAATAACAATTTAGATTTCTCTCTGCAGAGGAATCAGTCATTTTCAGACATCTGCCCTGAGTCGACAAGTTGCCCGCTCAGACTTGTTCAGCTGTAGCAACTCACTATGCTATTACAATGAAGTTTAACTATGAAAATCGATGGAGTTTGCAGCAGACCCTGTTCTAGTCAATTTTCAATATATTCAAAGGATCAAACTTGAGATAGAAAAACAATTTGCTAAAAAAAAACTTATCAATTAAAGCAAGTCTAGTGCAGGATGTGGATTGACAATCAAGTGTTGTCGTACAAACGAGTTTAATCAAAGACTGATCTCACCTTCTAACTTTAGGAGTCACCTCTTTGCATTCCAGGACCCTAACCTGGTATGAAAAGAAAAGTGATTATAAATTGCTATATTTCAGGCAATAGCTTTTTAACCATTTCACTTACTGGAAAATAAATGGTAATAAAATTTTGCAATAACAGATCACTAAAAATAAAATGCAGCAACACTTTTCCATAGCATCTTCCAAGAATTGGTTATCCAGATGTTGAAATTTTTCAAATACTTAATGTGAAGTTCAAATAGGTTAGTAGATTTTTAAAAAAAAAGTAACTGTTTGAAAGTAGGAATATTATTTCTGTTTTAAATTTAAGTAAAGGGTTTGATCTAGTAGAATACTAAATATATAGCACTTTTTAAAACTACTGGGTTTTGCAGATAAAATGTCCATAAAATACTTGCAGAATTGGATGTGCAAGCATGCATTTTTATTTAAGATATGTCGCTAAAAACATACAAAGCAGATTTACAGATTTTATAGACCTGTACACCTATACTTTATTGAAAGTGCACTCCAATATTTAATATGAAGTTAATCGAAGAGCTTGTCCGGATTATGCTATCAATAAAAATTCAGCAAAGTAAATGTTTGACCACATCCATTGATTATATTTGTCTAATATCAATCCATTCTTACAAAAACATCGTGCAAAAGAACAAAGAAATGTGCAATTAAGTGCATGGGGGAAGACAGACGATTCAATCCTGATTTTCAAAAAGGAAATGAATAATTAGCTGAAGCAAAAACTACTGGAGGACTATGGGATAAAGGCGAGGGAATGAGATTAGCTACACAGCTTAAAGATAGAACATAAAAAAGTTGGGGTAGGGCTTATGTAGTATAGTGATAGTGACTCTACCTCTGAGCCAGGTGGTCTGAGTTCAAATTTCAACTGCTCTAGAGGTGTAATAGTATTTCTAAACGGGTCGATTGGAAAGTATCTAAAAACATTGGGTTCAATGGCCTCTTCTGCATCATAACCCTGTAATGATTCCAAATCAAATAAATTCTCATCATTTTGCATGTATCTTGCTGGTTCAAAACATTGCCAGAATTAGATAACAAAAACCATTGCATAATTTGTTAAGATATCAATTTAAAAAACAAAAGCATTCTTCTAGTTATTACAATGAAAGGGCATTGATCCGAAACATTAACTCAGTTTTCCCCCTCAACAGCTGCCAGTAGACCTGTTGAGGATTTCCAGCAGTTTATTTTTATGTCTACTGTGATTGTGGTATGACCGAGCATGACAAATAGTAAACAAAAAAAAAGTATACATTCTAATAGACACAATTAGTATCAATACTTCAAGTAATTACTGAGACAAAAATACATTGAAGTGAGTGAGTGGTCAATTCAGTGTCATGTTTCAAGATCTTTAAATACTTATTATACATAACTCATTGTAGATTCTTATAAATTATATACTTTAAAAGAGTGATTTCACAAAGATCCATAACAGCCACGGGCTTTAACTATTTAGACAAAGGTTTGTTTATTATTGGCCATGCATTGTGGATCTGAAGCCAGATTAGCCAGTTTGTGGTTTGTCACAAACCTCTCAGTCTATTTAGGAACCTTTCTTTTGGAACCTGCACTCTTGGGTGCAGGGATAAGGAGTGGTGGCTGATTCATTGACATTCATTTTGGTTTTGGCAAATCACTGAATGGGGAAAGTGTCAGAAGGCTAGACTTCTGTGCCATTGAATGGTGAGTGAAAGACAATTTTACAGTTAAGCAATGAGTGCCGTGTGTGGCCTTGAGATAGGAAACCAGTTTCTCTCAAGCCCCGAGTCGGAGAAACATAGAAACTAGGACCAACATAATTTCTGAAAATATGACAGAAAGAATCCTCATAAAATTTAAAACTACTTGAAGGTGCATTTAAGGACTGTAACCCTCAAGTCTCTGGACCAAGAGTTGGAAAATGACATTATGCTGGATGGCTACACGATAGTCAGGAAGATTCTATGAAATTAAAATTGCATGTAAATTCTGGTCTGCCTTCATTTTAATTCTCCACCTTGCTCCCACACTAACATCTTTGCTGTCAGCTTCCTGCAGTGTTCCAATGAAGTTTAATGGAATTTTGAAGAATAGTACATTATCTTTCACCTTACAGACTTTGGGATGCGACATCAAGTTTAAGATTTTGACCACAAGCTCTTCACCCATTTTGTTTCATGTCCTTTTTGGTTTTGGTATTTCATTTACTCCTTGGTTTCGGCTGACAGCTGTTCATCTTTTCATCATTTACAACTGCTCCAGGTACAAGTATGCTTCTTTTCTTATACCATTATTAATCCCTTTGGCCTTGCACCACTAATCTTTTTGTCATTTAGATCTTCCACTCTTCCTTTTTGATCATTTTCCAACAGTCTCCCTAATCTTTTCAGTTGCTTAAAGCATACACCTCTAACTTTTCACACTTCCTATAAAAAAGTCAAAATGAACTGAAATAGCAACTGTTCCTCTATCCACAAATGCTCCCAGACTTGCTGAGCATTTCCAGCAACCGCAATATTTTGTACTAAATTCAATACCATTAGGGATTTGTTAGTACCCACAAAAAGAAAGATTTTCTAAAATCAAATAGATCACCATGCAGTTACCCATATTGAACTCCTATTGTGGGCCATTACTTATCAATATTCCTTACAGTGTTCTGTTCCCACCTGCAACACCCTAATTAGGGTCACCAACAAATCTGGATCACTACTTCTGTGGTACAATTAAAATATTAAAAGTCTGAGGTCCAGTGCAGAACACTGTGCGGTAGCACTAATTATAGCTTTCCAAATGGAAAAAAAATACTCATCATACATAATCCAAGTCTCTCAAAGTCTTTTGGAAGTCCATTAAGTAACAGCTGTAGACATCTTGTCATTTAACATATTAGAAACCTTAAAATAAATAAAACAAACAAACAAATTACTGCAGACAGATGTGATGCTCCTTCACAATTTCATACTGGCTCTCTCCATCGGTTGATATTTGTCCAAGTGTTCATCCCCACAACTGGAATTATACTAATACATCAATAGTTTCCTGGGTTCTCTCTTCTTCTCTTAATTTTATAATTGAAAGGAACAGTACTTAAGAGTCTTAGAAGGTCAAGACTGAGGTGTGCTCACTTAAACTTTCTTATTACCCCAGAGGAGAACTGATTAGATACATCAATATTCAGCTTCGTCTAACAGTTTATTCCCTCCTTCTATTTTGAAGGCAAATGATTTAATTCACTAAACCTCAAATCCACATCCAATCTCCAGTATGTCCTCCAGGTCTTTTTTGCAATCAGGCATAATTTCAGAATTAGCTAGCTTCATGAACATGGTCTCATAAGGAAGTGCTTGCAAGAGTAGAAAAAGTGAGCTTTTATCATTATGGGAAACTGCAAAAGCGCCAGGGTACTAACAGAAATGGGCTAAAGGCAGATTCAAGAAGGGAGATAGCACAAAACAAGTCTATACATAGCATTATGGGGTTCTCACTTGCACTTCCTAAAGACTAGGAAAGTCTGATTGAAAGGGTCAATCACTTTGGTCAAGTGACCCATTCACAAATGGCTGGTACAAAATCTGAAGCTGTAAAAACCTTGAGGTAGCACGCATTTCGCAACGAAGCTCTACAAATATTTTCTGCTGACCTTTCTCATAGTCTCATTACAATTAGGACGCATCCTTTTAGCAAGTTGTCTTTCTTCAATGAGTTCATCTTCCACGCCAAATAATACACCTTGCTTGACATTTTGATGTCTAGATGCCATAATCACTTGCAATCCTAGAATCAAAAAAGATGAAATTTTTTTTTTTTTTAAATTGATCGAAACAACAGCAAGACATCAACCTACTCAGCTTTCACGGTTTGCCAAAATTAACTTTCCACAGTCCTTCTTCAGCTTCGCCTCAGATTCAGAGAAAATGTTTTTTCCCATAGACATCAAACGGTTTCAAGTTTGAATTTTTCAGGCCACTGGATGTCAAGTAGTGGTGAATAGACTATTATCTTCTCAGGAAAATAACTACGATCTGAAAGCTGTTTTCCTTATATTGCAATATAAATGTGGAAGTGAGTATACTTCGCATTTCTACAGCATCTCTTACATAAGAAAATTGCATGAAAACTAGAAAAGGCAAAAAAATTGTTGGAAATTAAGTAGTAGAGCGAGGCAGCAAAAATTGAGCTTACAGAAGGAATAGCAAAGGGATACTGGAGAGGCTTTCTATTGAACAGACCAAAGTAATTGGAGGATAAGCCACAGATGACAAGGGAAGTAAATGAAAAACACAGAATTTCAATGCCAGAAGCAGGAGGTACATACTTAAAATAAACAGTGAAGGAGACAAAAAGAAAACAGGGAACTATAAGCCAATTAGCTTAACATCTATTATTGGGGGAAAAAAAAAGAGTCGCAAGTCATCATGCAACATGAAAACAGACCCTTCAAGCAAACTAATGCTCCCAAACCATGCTCCCAAAGTAAACTACCACCACCTGCCTGTGCTTTGCCCACGTCCCTCCAAATCTTTCCCATTCATGTACTTTTCCAAATGTCTTTTAAATGTTGGAACTGTACCCACATCCACCTGGCAGTATATTCTGCACACGAACCATGCTCTGTGTAAAAAAAAAGTTGCCGCTCACGTCCTTTTTAAATTTTTCTCTTCTCATCTTAAAAACAGCTCCCTAGTTTTGAACACGCAACCCCCCCCCCCCGCCATCCCACCTTAGGGAAACAACCTTTGGTATTCACCTTGTGACCCTCATGATTTTATAAACCTCGATAAGGTCACCTCTCAACCTCATGCTCCCATGAAAAAAGTGCCAGCCTGTAAGTCAAACCCTCCATTCCCAGCAACATCATAGCAAATCTTTTTGAACCCTCTCTATAGCATAGTAATATCCTTCCCACAACTGCACACAGTCTCCAGAAAAGGCCTCACGAAAGTCCTGCACAACCTCAATACATGTCCCAACACCTATACTCAAAGGTCTGAGCAATGAAGGCAAGTATGCTAAATGCCTTCTTAACTACCCTGACCATCTGTGATGCAAATTTTGAAGTATTATACACCTGAAGCCTTAGGTCTCTTTAGTTTACCACACTTCCCAGGGTCCTATCATTAACTGTACAAGTTCTTCCCTTGTTTGTTTTATCAAAATACAATACCTCACATTTATCCAAATTAAACTCCATCTACCACTCATCAGCCCATTTACCCAATTAATCATGACCTCTTTGCAATTTTAGATAACCTTCTTCATTGTCCACTATACCACCAACTTTACTTACAAACTGACAAACCATGCCTCTTGTATTCCCATCTAAATCATTCATATAAATGACAAACAAAAGTGGACCCAATACCAATTCCCATGGAACACCGCTGGTCACAGGCCTATTCAGCCCAAAAAGGAAGTCTCCAGCATCACACTGTCTCCTACCACAAAGACAATGTTGCATCCAATTGGCAAGCACACCCTGAATCCCATGTTACAATTTTACTAATTAGTTTGCCATGCAGAATCTTATCAACGTTGTGAATTGTGTCAAACGGAGTGGTGGAAATTTATCACAGTAGTCAAAGAAAGAATTTTCAGAGCGGGTTGCTGGTGTATAGTGGTCTGAAAACTCCTCAGAAAGATGGAAGTTCATAGTGGAAAATTACTTTCCACTGTTATCATGAAAGCAAACAGACAGGAAAGCACGATTACATCACCTACAGAAATATGAGGATACTTGACGAGGCAAATCTTTCAGCAAAGCATTGTTGTTAGAATTTACTTTAAAGGATGTAATAGCACAGTGTTTAGAACTACATAATATGATCAAGTAGAGTCAGCATGACTGACAAATTTATTAGGAAAGCAATGCACCTGAAACATTTAGATTTTTAGAAGCTGCTTGATAAGGCACCACACACTAGTTAGAAGAGGCCAGGGTATTGTAGGTAGTATGTTAGCATGGATTGACGATTGGTTAACTAAGTCAGAGTATGGATAAGGGAAGCATTGCACACATGTGCGCGCGCGCACACACACACACATACATACACGAGGAAAATGAATGTACTGTAGCCCAAGTCTGTGGCTGACAAAAATACATGAAGGCATGAGATGACAGTGGCACAATGAATCTGAAGACAGATACAGGCATGTTAAGTGAGTGGGCAAAGACTTCGCAGACGGAACAGAAGGTGGGAAAATGTGAAATTATGCACTTTGCCCGGAAGAATAGAGGAGCTGATTATTTAAATACACAAAAACATTATTTAAATAGAGAAGAGCCACAGAAGAGGTTTTTGGGGATTCTCAATTTGTTTTGCTAAAACATTACAAGGTGCTAGTCAGACCATAGCTGGAATAATGTGAATGGTTTGGTCTGCTATCCAAAGAAATATGTAGAAGCACTGGAGGCAGTCCAGAGAAGATTCACTAGGCTGATACCAGATATGGAAGGGGTTCTTATGCGGGGAGGTTGAGTAGGTTGGGTTGAACTCATTGGAATTTTGAAGAATGAGAGGTGACCTTATTGAAACATACAAGATTCACAAGACAAAAAGAAGCTTGACAGGGTAGATGTAGAAAGGTTGTTTCCCTTCGCGGAACCTCAGGCCAGAGGGCATTATCTTAGATTGGAGACACTGTTTGGACCACACCAAATCCCCTCAAAAATATATTCAGAAGATACCTTTTTAAAAACAAGAAAATGTTAGGGTCTAGGCTAAGTGTAAAGTTTTGCACTCTAGATGCAATCTGATTGGTCAACCTACTTGAATTTAAGCAAAGCACATGATTTTTACACTACTGTTAAAATACAGAAAATAAAAATGAAATTAATTGGCTTAACTATAACTATTGAAATGGTTAACAAAGTAATATACATTAGCCACTAATTAGTTGTTCTGATATAGTAACATCCCATAAACACACCCTTGGCAAAGGCAAATTCAGTAAAATAGATTATCTCAAATGCAGCAGTAAGAGAACCCCAGCAAAGAACTAAAGAGCTTCCACATCTCGTTTCAAGATTCCAGCAACTGAAGCAAGCTACGACTGAAGATCCTGGTTCTGTGGGAGCTTGACCCCACCCATTCTGGCTGCTTTTATTGTTCCAACTTTAAAAAACCCAAGAATTCACAAGCTGTTTACTTTATTGGCTTTGAGCAGACCACCCTTCACTCTGATGCAACCTTTCTTCATTTATTTAAAAAAGGACAAAAATACACCTCTTAAAGCTGTAGTATTGTCACATTGTACATTTAAGACAAAAGTAAGGAAGAATTTCTTCTCTTGAACGGTTGAGAATCTGTGGAATTCTTTATTGCAGAAGGCTGTTGTGGCTGGGTCATTAAATCTGTAGGCTGAGACAGACAGATTTTTAATCAGTAATGGAATCATAGGTTATAGGGAACGGCAGGGAAGTGCAGTTCAGGATTAACAGATCAGCCAGGATCTGATCGAAGTAGCAGACTTGGTGGGCTGGATAACCTAATTCTGCTCTCAAGTCTTACGTGAATTAATTGCTCAAGGAAATGATTATGGTGAGATGGGGCAAGATGAAGAAGGTCCTGAGCATGAAGGTGAAAATCTTGAAAGAAATTCATTGTTCTTTATTCAGGCAGGTGAACTGATAAAAGTGGAGATGCAGAACTTTGTTCAATGAGGTAGGAAGGATATTATATTCTGACAAATGCTTCTCACTTGTGAAGCTTGGAGCCAGGCAGAAATGGATAAATTGGGAGCTGGCAATATTTGTCCAGACAGATTTTATAAAATTTATTTCATTGTAAAAACGCTTTCAGACTTTGTTGCAAATTTCTACTCAGCATATATCCTGAACTTTGTTATTTCCAGGCCACATTCTTGGCTGTTCCCAGACAAGCATCAGCCACAGCTCAGTCAGCAACGCTCTTGCCGGAGTCATAAGATTGTGGGTTCAAGTGCCATTTCAAGGTTGAAATATAAAAAGCAAAAAAGTTGACAGTGTAACGCACTACAATTTTTGGTTGAGACGTCAAATCAGTGCCCCCTGACCTGGTCATGCAAGTGTAAAAGATCCCATGGTACTATTCTGAAGAGGAGCAGGGCAGTTATTCCCACTGGCTAATAATTAGCCCTCAATCAACATGCCAAATTCAGATTAGTTGGTTGTTATCATATCATCTGTGGGACTGGCAAAGCACAAATGGGTGTTGTTGTTCCCTATATTAAAAAAGTACTCCAAATGTTTTGAAGCACTTTGAGACAGCTGCTGGTTGTGAAAAGCACTGCACAAATGTAAGTCTTTTCTAAAGTTTCAGATGCCCTCTAGTCCATTTGTTTGCTATTTGTATACTCAAGATAACAATATACCAGCTCCACCCCTACTCCAACTCACGTTCATGTTTCCAATTTCCCAATTTCCCACCTATTCCATTGCCCTGAATTATAACCAACAGCCTCAGAAACAAAAAAAACACCCTTTTCCTCAGTCAACGATTCCTCACCACTGTGTTGCCTTGTGTGTGCCTTATTCATTTTCTGCACTTCTCTCAGCATTTTCTTCCCCTCCCACAATAATGGAAAGGACCCCCAGTCCTCACTTTCCATCAGACCAGCCTCTGTATCATAGCTGGTTTTCGCCAACTCCTGTGGGATTCCACTACGAGACACATATTCCCTCTCGCCATTCTGCAGGGGCCATTCCCTCCAGGACACCTTAGTTCACTCCCAACACCTGTACAGCGCTGCCCATACAATCATAGAAGGTGCAACACTTGTCCATTTATCTCCTCATGACCCACGATCCAAGATACATGTTCCAGGTGAAGCAGTGATTTGCCTGCTCTTCATTCAATCCAGTCTACGTATTCACTCCTCCAATGTGGCCTCCTTTACACTGGGGAGATGAAATGGAGAGTGGGTGACCATTTTGGTGGTAAAAATGACTGGAGTTTCCAGTCACCTACCACTTCAATATACTACTGTATTCCCACGCCAACATTTCAGAGCCACCCACCTCCATGTTCACTACCTACCCTCACACCCCTAAATCCTGTTCTGTATGGGCTGCTCCCAGCACAGCCATTTTCAACCATTTACACGTCTCATCAGCACCCGACCCAGAATTTCTCTTGGCTGATCAAGAGCAATCTCTTTGTTTGACTATCCCTTTTTACTCTTTCTCAGTTTCATCTTCAGGTGCTCTATTCAATCCCCACCACATCCCAGCTATTTTCAGGTCTGACGAAGTGTCACTGGACTCAACACATTATTTCTGTTTTCTCTGCACAGATGGTGCCAGAGTTTCTGCAACACTTGTTTTAGACTTCCAGCATCTGGATTTCCTTGATTTTTAAATAATATAAATCTATGATTTTAAAATCAAATACATACTCAATCTCTATTCTTGCATAAGCAGTTCCTCCCCAATTAAACATGTTGGAAAAAACAGCTCAGATTAAACAGTGTCACTTGGGACTTCCTTTTTAATTAACCTACAGGGCTTCCTTCAAAACTATCAGGTGTTATTTCAGGAACTATTGATACATATAAGCCACAAATGAAGGCCTACAGAAATGCATCAACAGCTTATCATATTTTGCACAGTAATACTTGCTTGCAATGTTGCACCATTTATTTTAGTCGTCACTCAGTGGCGCCACAGGACAATAAATTTAACAGTCGGCTATACTTGACAATATATTCAAAGGGACCATATTAGGAAAATTTAACCCCGGATGAATCTTGCGATGCGATGTAGTGTCCCTATCTCTGAACCACAAAGCCCTGGTTCAAATCCCACCTGCACCAAAGGTATATAATAACACCTCTGAACAGGTTGATTAGAAAAATAGGTTAACAAAAAAAAAAGTTTATGAACAACTACCTTAAAAATTTTGCCTAGAGCTAATTTAGGCATGCCAAACAACGGAGCCTCTTTGTTTTTTAAAAGATTACTCAAGTGATTTGATCAAGTATGCAGCCGCTTTAAGATCTTTATCCCCGCCATGGCCATGCAGCAACTCAAAAGTGACAGCGCGAATGCAGATCGTGCACAAGTTGTTGTTCAACTTTAGACTGAACATTGGAATTAAATGTAGTTCCAGAATTTTGCAATGTAGGAACCTTTCTGGTTTTTCATTATTTTTACTACTATTCTTTTACTAACTTTGATTGGAACTGATGACGAGTGGACTTTGGGAAACAGCCTGGTAAAAGGAAATGAACAGACCAAACAAGCTTTTTTGTTTATTTGTGAGGGCAGACCTGGAGGTTAACTGCAGGCTGATTCTCAATTAAAAGGGTTCGAACAGGCACGGCCACCCTGGAAACAGCATTTTGTTTAAACAGATGGCAGACTTTGGCTAGTAAGGAGGTCAGCACCTGGGAGTTGGCCCCAGCAAGTCTGGAAGAGATCTATATTCAAGGAAATGATAGACGTTGAACAATCATTGAGGACCCAGGAAAAAACAAAAAACGCTTCAAAGGAGGCTACACAGCACCAACGATGTCACCTAAAAGGGAGATGAAATGTTTGAATGAAAACCAGTCAGCTCGGCACACCAACCAACAACTCCATCTGCTGACCTTGTACTTCCAGAGAGAAGGTGCTACGGATCTTTGGCAAATTGCCGTATTGCTCAGGAGCAGCAGTTCTATTTACAAGATGCATCAGTAATGGAGGGAGTGGATGTGGTAACTATCAAGCTGGCTACTGTGTCCCATGTGGTATCAAGCTTCTTGAATGTTGTTCGAGTTCTACTCATCCATGCACGTGGGAGTTTTCCATCACACTCCTGACTTGTGCCATGTAAATGGTGGACAGGCTTTGGGAGTCAGGAGATCAGTTACTTGCTGCAGTATTCCTCAACTCTGACCTACTCTTGTAGCCAGTGTTTATGTGGGGAGTCCAGTTGAGTTTCTGGTCAATGGTAACCCCAAGCTTATTGATCGTGGGGGATTCAGTAAATGGTAACACTATCGAACATCAAGGGATGGTGGTTAGGTGGTTTCTTTTGGAAATGGTTATTGCCTGGCATTTATATGGCATGAAAGTCACTTGCCACTTTTCAGCCCAAGCCTGGATACTGTCCAGGTATTGATGTATTTGAACTTGCACTGCTTCAGTATTGCGACTACATCCCCAATTAAATAAGATCATCGCTTATCTGATTATGGCCTAAACTCCACTTTCCAGCCTGCTCCTATAATCCTCAACTGCACTGTTGATCTAAAATCTGTTTAGCCCACTTTGACTTTCCTCAATGCAAGCCTCCACTGCTTTCTCCAGAACAGCGTTCCACAGTCTAATAGAAAAAACATTTTCCCGATCTTAAAAGGGAGTCCTCTTATTTTTAAACTGTGGCCCCCTAATACTAGCTTCACCCATAACAGGGAATATCTTCCCAGCATCCACTTCACTAATTGCCCTCAGCATCATGTCAATAAGATCATTTCTCATTCATCTAGACTCCAATGGGTACAGCCCAATCTATTCAATCTTTCTTCTGCAAAATGAGTCAAGTGAACCTCCTCTGAACTGCTTCTTACACAATTGTATATTTTCCAAATAAACAGACCTAACTGTATATATATATATATTTCATATGTGGTTTTACCAAGACCCTTTACAGATGTAGTAAAATTTGTCTTTTATCAAGTCCATTACAGGTTAACAGCATACTAAGTGTTAATTATAACTGTAAACGCTCCCTGATACTGACAATTAACTACTGTAAGTGTTAAGGCATATTGTTTAAGACCTTAAACATTGTAGAATTTAAAAACGTATAATTTAAACTTTTTTTTGTTTTTCTCTCATTCCATCATTCTTTCCCTCTCCATTTTTCTTCCTGGTCATAGTGTATGGCTTGTAATGACTTCTCCCGGACACTGGTCTGTGGTGAGACCAAAGTATTACCAGAAATGGCAGTATTTTGGTTTGCATTAAGAACTACTGTATCTAGTAAAACAATTGAACAGATGCGAAGCACTCAAAACCAGGAAAGAAAAACCAAAAATGGTCTGCAGCACACTGAAAAGATCTTAAAGTAGAAATTTGTCACATGATATGCTGGCAAGATCCAAATCCTGCTTTATTGTACATTTAGTACTTTCCCCAGTTTTTAATTACCCTTGAAGTTAACATAATGATTCAGTCAAAACAGGGGTTAAGAAAGGATTCTAAAAACATTACTAGAAATTAAAAATCAACAAATCAATAATATTGCAATAACCTTGGACCATCTGCAATTTTCAATTACAGTAATTACGATGTGGTATGAATTTATTTCTTTAACCATTAGGAAGATGTTACAAGAACTCAGGATTCAGACAACATTTTAAATAGTATTACATACAAGGTTAGGATTTGTGCGTTCTTTTCACATTATTGTGAATGATGTCAGTGTAGCTCAAGATATGCTCAAGTCAGCTGAAGACATATCAAAATCAGGGAACCCTCTCCTCTTAAATCTCACTGTCTAGTCCTGACAGCAGTTCAAGTATTAAAGTTCGTTAATGCAGTGTCACTTATTAGTGACAAGTAATTATTAATTTACATCTACACAAACACTTTAACAGGAGTACCTTTGTTTATTGATATGACTTGGCCATAAATGAAGTGGTTTGGCGATGTTGCCTTCCTGATGTTTAGAAATGCCACAGTTACAAGGAGGATTTAATAACTCTCTCCTATAAAATGTTAACTCAAAAAAAGCTCAATGAGACTCTGAAGCAGACATATACAGTTGTACAACAATACTTCATAACATTTCAATGGGATTAATGACCATTCAATATTTTTGGCAGTCTTGATCAGCATGAATTTTTTTTTGCTATAATTCCAACAATATCACCGACCTGAACCATGCCATGATTTGCTACCAGTTACATTCACAAATGTCCCAAGTAAAATAAAGTTTTTAGAAATCCTAATCCTCTTTTATCAAGTGTTTTGAATAACTAATGAAAAACATAGAATCTGCTTCATAACCTTATGGTACAGAAGATTCTATTGATACAGCAGATTTATTTAGCCACCATTATCGGCGGGTCTCACCATTCAGTGCTGTCCATTCACATCATTCAAAACTCAAGTCATCCCATAAAACAGGATTCCAAGGAAGTAACAACTTCACACTTACAACGAGGCCAGGTTCAAAAATTATGAACAGATTTGCTTGTTCAAATAGTAAGGTCGCTTTGCAAGTTAACATTCGCCGCAGCTATAAATAAATCACTAGTTGTCATACAGTGAAATATCTGCCCGCCAACCAATTCCACAAAATGCGGTTTTGACAACTTTACCCTTTTTAAACAGACTTCCCTTCATGCCACTCCCAGCCAGGCAAACAAAATGGATCCAAACGAATGTAGATTGTCCAATAAGATCCGTCGCGTCTTTCGGGATAAAAGCGAGATGAAGAGTCCAGTCCCCAATTTTCGAAACCAAACAAACATTTTCAGATTTTATAAAATTAACCATAAAATCACATAAAAAGATCGTTCTTTGAGTTTTAATTATTAACGACAAGTTGTCTTACATGGAGTACGTGGACAGTTAGAACTGGTTTAAGAGCTCCTTAGCAAATAATTTCGAATTACAAAGAAACACAGCCCTCTTTTAAAAATTAATCTCAATCCACCCCACCCCAAAATCCCATCCAGCAGAAACTACCCAAGTGTGAGGTCCCGAACCGATCCTCCTGCCACTACCGATAGTAAGGGGGTCACTTACCAGAACATTTTACAACATTTCAGTGGCAGTGCAAGCGATTAGAATTTGCCCCTCCTCTCCCCTTTCAGGCGCTAACGGGCCGCACCGGTCGTCTCTCCCTTTCCCTGAACCTTCGCCATTCAAAACAAGCCCTCGGCATGCCGGGACAGCTGAAACCTCCCAGTCGGAGGACTGTCCCCGCTCGGGCCCACGGCATGCCGGGATAGCTGAGTCCTCCCAGCCGGAGGTTTGCGCCCGCTTGGGCCCACTGTATGCCGGGATGGCCGAGTCCTCCCAGCCGGAGGGCCAAGAATGCGAGAAGCCAATGCAACGTCTACCCCAAATCCTGATAGGAGCGTTCCTGCGGTTTAAATGATAACAGTCAGCAAAACAAGTTGCAGAGCTGGACGAACACAGCAGGCCAAAGCAAACAAGTGGTGTAATTGTGGAAGAAGCACTTAGAAAACGTGTGAGCGGAATTTTCTGAGGAGTAGCTATCTCACCCAGGAAAAGGAAATCCACGCCCACATTTCACAACACTAAGATGTTATTTGGCATTTAAAGGTCCACAATCACAGTCACTTTGACAGCTGATGTCAAAGATCAAGTACTTCCAGTGTGAAGTTAAGGTGCCAGGTGACAGTGCCAAGTGGGCAGGGAGTAGGATGGCGCTAGTGGGGAGGTTGTAGCTGCGTGATGCAGTAGAATGGGGGCGGGGGGGGGAAGTAGGCCGCCAAGTGACGTAGAATGTCAAGTAGGAAGGTGATAGGTTGCCAGTTGGTAGGTTGGCAAGTGAGTAGGTTGCCAGATGTTTGGGTGCCAGATGGTTAGTATGCCAAGTAAGTAGGGGGTAAGGAGTACCGTGGCAAAGGGGCCAAGCAAGTGATGTAGTTGTTACACAAGGTCAGAGTGGGAAGTCAATAATGGGTCTGTTTGGAGGGTAGTTTGTTGGGTCCCCAGGCAGGGGTGTCGGATCCACTGGTGAGGAAATGGGTATTCGGGAACCCAGGGGAAGATGGATAAAGGCAAATCAAGTCCGTATTGGAGTGAAAGAGAACTGGGCCCTGAGAGGCCAGGGGCAGATTGTTCTAATCGCCAGTGAATATAGTCTTAACTGATCCCGTTTCCCTTCAATGTCAGACCCATCATCCCAGGAATCTGTCTGGTGAACTTTTATTGCAGTCCCTCCATAGCCAGAGCATCCTTCTTCAGATAAGGAGACCACAACTGCTCACAATACTCCAAGAGTGATCTTACCAAGACCCTGTACAATTGCAGCAAGACATCCCTGCTCCTGTACTTGAATTATTTCGCTGTGAAGTCAACATACCATTTGCCTTTTTCATTTCCGGCTGCACCTGCATGCGTACTTTCAGCAACTGATGTATTTACCCAGGTATCATTGCACAACTCCCCCCAGCCTGTTTCCCAATTTATCACCATTCAGATAATAATCTTTTCTGTTTTTGCTATCAAAGTGGATAACCTCACATTTACCAACATTACAACCACATTATATTTGTAGATTCTTGCAAATACGTGTACTGTTACACTCCTGTTTCCAGTTTCCTTCAAATACTTGAGCCAGATTACCCTATCATCCACCAATGGTACCACCAGCGTCTCTAGGCTGTATTCAGTCTCAGGGAGAATTCACTGCAGGTCAGACTATCCTTGTCTTCTCTAGCAGCTGGATTCTCCCTCAAGTTCCTCTCACTGGCTGTCCAGGAATTGATATGGGCCTCGGTTGCTCTCTGCGGCTCCCAATCCTTAGCTCTTTCCATTTCAGCTGATTCGCTCCTGCAGCATCAGGCCCCCAGAGAATCAGCAGTTCAGTCACCTTCTCAAATGCAATATCAACATCTGGCTGTTCCTCTAACTGGGACTGCCAACTTTCCCATTCCTGGAGTGCCCTCTAACCATCCCACACATACAGGCCTGTTTTTCCCTTTTCCAATATTTCTATCGTTAACATATCAATGTTAAGAGAGGAAAGATCAGTTCTTAAAACCACAGTAATGTTTTCCACTGCCTGTAGCTGTGGCAGTGTTCAGGAAGTTAAACTTTAATTCTTGGAAACTTCAACTCAGGGGATGTGGCAACCCTACCTCCCACTGTGGCCGAGTTCCACAATGCAGCCCCCATGCTACTATCCACATCACCCCATCCCCTCCCCCCAACAAATATCAGGATGACAAAAGTACCCTTTATCCTTCACTGAGGCCCGTCCTCGTTCTGATAGCTGTCAAGCTCCTCAGTGAACCTACCCAAACTGACCCAAACGTGAGACATACACCATCTTGCACTTCACTGCCACATACCTGGGTTGTCTGTCCTGGACCTGGCTGATAGTGATGCCAGTGACCACAGGGCCTGGTGCTGAGGCCAAGCTCCACAGCTACACATTTGTGGTGCAGTACCCTGCAGAAGTCCAGGAGACAGCCCGACTCCCAAACCAGACAGCAACAGTTCAAGAAGGCAACTCACCACCACCTTTTCAAAGGCCACCAGGGATTAGTAAGTGTTGACGAAAGAACAATGCCCACATCCCGTGAATGAATTTTAAAAAATACTACATTAAGGATAGAATCTAGAGCTAATTTTCTCTTTCCTTTTCACTCCAATGCGAGAGAGGCAGTCCATTTCAGAAATGAACAGGAATTGCCTGTACCTGAATGAACTTTACTAGCGACAACCAATGCATACAATCATGCAAACACCCAGGAGAGAGAAGTTTGAGCATCCCTATGACTTTAAATGTTGACAGTAACTTAAAAGCGTGTGATCGAGAAGATATTGAAATCTTGGTGCAGCAAGCTACAGATTTACAACAGCATAAGGAACTGGAACATGATTCAGCCATTCGGCTGATAAAATCTGCTCTACCAATCAATAAAATCATGTCTGCTCTGACTGTGGCCTTAACTGACTTTCTTGCCTATTAGTCATAAGCTGTGACTCTCACATGGATCAAAACCAGGTAGTGATCTGGGGACCCGGGCTCAAATCCCACCACAGCAGATGGTGGAATTCAAGTTCAATATCTGGTTTAAAGAGTCTAATGATGACCCTGAATCCATTATTGATTGTCGGAAAAACCCATCTGGTTCACTAATGTCCTTTAGGAAAGGAAACTGCCATCCTTATCTTGTCTGGCTTACATGTGACTCCAGACCCGCAGCAATGTGGATGACTCTTAACTGCCGTGTGAGCAATTAGGAATGGACAATAAATGCTGGTCTGTCCAGCGATGCCTTCGTCAATGAATTGAAAAAAACCCCTCTAACTCAGCCTTGCACATAATCATTGACCCAGCCTCCATTGCTGTCTGGCAAAGACAATTCCAAAGAATAGAAATCCTCCGGGAGAAAAAAAAAACACTTTTGTTTCTATACACTGTAAGTGACCCCTTAAAGGTACACCCTTCATCTGCGTTTCTCCATCAGTACCAATCCTATCATGTGAAGCCTGGAAGTGGCTTGAGGATATCTAAGACACTGGGGTGAAGAGCATGACAGAAGGGTCAATGTCACATGGGTCTGAAAATTTCTCAAATGCAAATCATCCAAATCATCCCGCTGCTGAAAAGTCAGGTCAGGTTATTCCCAAACCCCAGAGCAAGTGCAACAGATTGCAGTCCAGCATCTGAGGTGAGCTATCCAGAAAGCTCTCAGTTGTTCCACATCTCACAGGCTTTAGCCATGGACTGAGACCCTTCATTAGATTACACAGTGAAGAATAGAAACTGTAGGAACATAGGGCCGAGGAATGGGAGAGGACCATTTGGCTCCTCAAACTTTTCTGCTGTTCAATAAATTACAACTGCTTTGTTTGTGGTGTCAGCTCCACTTTGCTGTCTGTCCCGTATGACCTTGACTCTCCTGCTCGCTGATCAAAATTCTATTAAACTCAACCTTGAATACATTTGACAACTCAGTTTTTGGGGGGAGACAATTCCATACTCCAACAAGCCTTTAAGAGAAAAGATTTCTTCTCATCTCTGTCTTAAACGTCTTTCTTAAACTGTGCTCCCTCGTTTTTGTCTCCTTGACAAGACAAACCACCCTCCCAGAATCTACCTTATCCGGTCATCTCATGGTTTTATGACTTTCATTCTCATTCTTCTAAACTCCCATGGTTACGAAACTAACGTGTTTATTCTTCAGAAAATAACTCCTATGTTGCAAGACTGAAAGCACAACATTTGCTTACTGGAATAAAAAGTGAAAATGCTGGAGAAACTCAGAAGTTCAGTTTTGAAGAAGTCATATTGGACTTGAAGCATTAACTCGGTTTCTGTCTTCACAGATGTGCTGGACCTGCTGAGATTCTCCAACATTTTCTCAGGTATGGCCTGACTGGCAGATCAATAGGGTGACTTATTACTGCTTGTGATGTTCTGAAGGAAGGCCAAGATAGAAGGAGGTCTGTTTGAACGTACAGCAAATAGATGTTGCTGCTGCTGAAGATATTTAGGCTGCTGTCTACTGTGGTTTCTCAGTGTCATACTTTGACTATTCTTGCAGCTCATTCATATGAAGGTCATATCATTCAGTCACCAAGGTATTAACACAATACAACAAATCATGATAATCTGAAAATTTGCTCGGGTTCCAGTTATTTGACTGCACCTCCATCAATGGCTTTTCTTCCCACCCAGCAATGTCGCCTCTGGTTTCCTTCCAAAGATATATGCCCTCCATCCTCATCTATATGGGGTGTCTTGGAGACACGATCCAGTGACTAAGGGCCAACTTTAACAAGTTCAGCAAACTTTATTTAACTGGCACTTATGGGATCAGGACTGTGCCCATTGATCAAATATTCTGGATAATCAAGAGGTACACATAAATTCAATGTAAAAACACATAGTAAGTATTAGAAACATAATCTTTTTTACTGCATAAATTCTCAGACATTGCAGTAGATCGCTGTATTTGAGGTATATAATTTTTGCCAGTTTATCAAGAGTGCTAGTTGAAACAAAGTTTGCTGTATATCAGTGATAGCTCTTTACTGCCTTTGTGCTGTCGGACCACTTGCCCAACATTCAGTACTGGATGAGTCACAATTTCTTTTGGTGCCTATTGTTGGTAACTGATAAGTTCTGTTGATGGAAATAATTTTGAATCAACCTGTTCAGACATGATTTGACACCACCTCCTGAGCAGGTAGGAACTTGAACCACAGTCTCCTAGCCCAAAGGCCAGGACATTACCACTGCACCACAAGAACCCAGTTCTGTTGATGAGTGTTAAATACTAATAGTTGAAGGTAATAAGACAAATAGGTATGGCACAGTAGTACTATCCTACCTCTGTTCCAACACTCATCTGCTTCAGAAGTGTGTACTAGCATTGATGAACAGGTTGATTTGGAAAATATCTGCTTACATGTGCAGGAAGGCTCTTGTGGTACAGTGGGGAGGTTGTCTGTCAAGTCCAGGAGAGACACCCTTCAGTTTGCGGGTGGCAGGTTGTAGCACCG